GCTTGCGTGTGTGTGCTCGTGAGCGGCCAGGTGTGAAGTCTGGGGCAGGAAAAATACCCTGTCCTGGATCTAGAATCTCCTGGAACCTTTTCGCGAAATATGTCTTAGTTGTACCAAAGGGAAGTCCACTTTTCCACGCCACTTTTTGGACTAGTTTTCAGGATAACTTCTCGTGTTGAATAAGAACATTATGCACCACTACGTTAGTCCTACGGTTCGACATGTTGGTATCCCTGAGCGTGGCGGTGACGGCTCGGCGCCCCCCGCAGACTTTATCAGCGTTGTCAACATTCCACGCTCCTGCCTTTTCTATACAACATTTCGTGTGCAAATCCACGCCCTATAAGACCACCGAGAGAGTTATCAAACGTGCAGATAAAGTCTAAAAGTTTCTACACACGCTGATCGACCAGCCTTCTGAAAGAGCGAGCCGAAATAATTAGGTGTGCTCGGCGCGCGTCGCGGCCCTCCTGCGAGACGCCCATTGTTTTAGCGACTATTTTTGGTTTCGAGGAAATGGAGAGAGCGACGACAACTTCCAGTCTGTTTCACTATTTTCTAGCATATAAAGCTTCTAAAATCAGTGTGTACGATTCCGCTGTCGTGGTGAGACATGCGTGATTGAGGCTTGTGTCATTAACATAAAAAAACAATAAGATACCCAAGAAGAAATGAAATAGATACGCATGAGTGAGACCGCCAAAACTAGGTCATGTCAGCGGGAGTTCTCGGTCTGGAACAAAGCGAATGTGTGTATTACGAAACGTCTCAAGACCCGTAGGCCTATCCGAGCCTAAACACCCATAACCTGCGTCAGATTTTTTTTGCGAGGATTCCGACACTCCAGCTTCGGAGATGACACGACTGAAGCAAACGGTGGAATGATAACATATGAGACGTGTATGCTTTTGAGGTAGAGTGTGTGCATTATTCACGCATAAGAGAATGATGTTTGGGGATGCCTATCTGCGTAGTTAGATGGACACGAATATGGGTATGGATATGTACAGATGAACACATACACGCACAGAAGTCTCTCTCGGTCTCTCTCTCTCTCTCTCTCTCTCTCTCTCTCTCTCTCTCTCTCTCTCTCTCTCTCTCTCTATCTATCTCTCTTCTCTCTCTCTCTCTCTCTCTCTCTCTCTCTCTCTCTCTCTCTCTCTCTCTCTCTCTCTCTCTCTCTCTCTCTCTCTCTCTCTCTCTCTCTCTTCTCTCTCTCTCTCCCTCCCTCCCTCCTCCTCCCTCCCACTCTCTCTCTCTCTCTCTCTCTCTCTCTCTCTCTCTCTCTCTCTCTCTCTCCTCTCTCTCTCTCTCTCTCTCTCTCTCTCTCTCTCTCTCTCTCTCTCTCTCTCTCTCTCTCTCTCTCTCTCTTCTCCTCTCTCTTCCCCTTCCTCCTCATCCACTATATATCTATCTATATATATATGTAATACACACACACACACACACACACACACACACACACACACACACACACACACACACACACACACACACACACACACACACAACACAGTATATATATATATATATATATATATATATATATTATATATATATATATATTCTCATTGGTTTTCAAATCCGGAGACACAGACGAAGTTAATAACTATTGCCCTATTCCCATACTCACTATACTGGCTAAAGTTCTCGTAAAAACGTAAAAAAAACAATTTGACATTTCCAGAGACACATGACCTACTATCAAAAACACAACATGGCTTCAGAAGTAAGCTGTCTGTTCAAACAACATTATAAAAGATCACAAATAAAATTTATGAGAATACATACAATCAAATAAACGCTTACATTTTGCGATTTATCAATATCGTTGAGGGCAAGGCACCTTTGAGGTGTGCTGTCTTTAAATTACGCGCTTGTCCTCTCGAGCAGTCGCGTTGCGTGTACTGCGCAGCCGCTCACATGATCAACGAATGTGCCGAAAAAATCGCAAACGGTAATCAACTTTCAGTAAATGTGTCATAGCAGACGGACATAATGCAAACTCTCCATTATGTGCATACAATCCGAACGATAGAAAAAACAACAGGCTGTACGGTAAACGAAAAAGTCGCTCTCCAGCCCACTATCGCATCAGCTCCTGCCCCAGCGCCAGCTTCAAGTGTC